ATTTACAGAATTATAGCTCAAAATATTGACTATTTGAATTACTATAAAGTATTCATTGTGTGGGAAAGAGTTTGGTTCACTCTAAGAGCTCAATTTCTTGTACTCTTCGGATTGTAAGTATAATAACTTGTTTTGTGCTCATTATATTGACTCAAAATTTTGAATATATATTTATTAGATGTTAAGCTACATAAATACAAAAGTTTATGAAGTTTGAGCAAGAATTGAGGGAGAAATATTAAAAGTGTCCACATGTGGGTCTTGACCGCAAGGGGCGCCGCGACAGTATTGCACAGATCAATCGGTCTCCCGATTTGGCACGGAGCAGTAAGCAAATAGTGATTCGCGTAGATACAACTCGGAGAGCGACTGTCTCAGATGTCTCCCAAGTACCAGACCGCCATGGTTGGTGCTCAACGTGTTGCCGTATGAATTGAAGCTGATAGTAATATCAGGGAAAGCGAGGAATTGATGATGCTTGTTCATCCGATACGACTGACATTGCCAAACATATCGCAAAGAGGGCAGAAGAAGCAGATGCCGTCAACATGGGTGAGTGCGATTTCGCCAGAGGTCATCCCAGTTATTTTACGTGTGCATTTTCCTAAACTTGCTATGTGCATAGTGCGTCGCTCTGCGAGATTGGCCAATGCGACTGACGTTGGTGAACGTACCGCGAAGAGAACGGAAATAGCAGATACCGTTAGCGTAGGTGAGCACAACTCTGCTAATGTTCTGGGATTCATTTAAAAAGTATATTTTCATGAACTTATTATATGTGCAGTTCGTCGCTCTACGAGACTGTCTGAGAGTCAACCGGAAATAGGTCAAGACTTACCAGGGCGATCTACGAAAATCGAGAAGACGGAAAGCAAAAAGAAACCACGCAAGTCTTCAGCCAAGGCAATAACGGTGCAGAGGCAAGAGAGCAAAGTCGGTAACCATGAATCATTCATGAATATGCCTGTCGACATATTCTACAAAGTGCGCACATTTTTTGTATGTGCATATAATCTGTGCGCGCTGCATGCTTACCGTGTTGTTTTTTCTCCTAGATCGCGAATCACCTGACTCCCCATGACATACTGAACCTTTCGCGCACTTCAAAGGGTCTGCGCAGCGTTCTGACCTCAAAGAAATCCGAGAACATATGGCATGCTGCTCGGGAAGCTCTAGAAATGCCGGAGTGCCCTCCGGACCTGTCCGAAATGCAGTATGCAGACTTAGTCTTCGGCAAGCACTGCTACGTAACTATGCTCTAAACAGAGAAAAAAAGGATATAACTAATGGAGTTCTTCACTAGTCATGCAACAAACCTCGAGTTAGAATCGTGTATTATGTGCACAGGACCCGACTCTGTGCGTACTGCCGGGATAAGAAGCTAGTGAATTGCTCATTGCTGGGTACATTGTTTGACACAAATCGTCACTAGGTTAGTTTTATACAATTGGAGGCTGGCGGAGGAATACAAATATAACACTGCTCAAATGTATGGGTTGCTACTCGCGGATGGAGGTGAGCATATTCTTCAATGCTAGATTCGGATTTTATCATGTACATTTAACTTCGGTAGATTACTACTCTCTAGACGAAGTACAGAACGTATGGAACAAACTACAGGAACTCAACATGAGATATTCAGAGCGTGCAAAGTATATAGCTGAGAGGAAACAGAAAGTTGCCGATATTAAGAAAGTGTGTGGATAATTTTCAGTATTTGCTGGTAGCCTGACACATTGTTTAAAAGCATGCATGGGAGCTTTTGAAGTGGAGAAGACAGAAAAAAGAATCGATAAAGCAGGCAAAGGACTCCGAGAAGCAGAAGACTGTTAAACAAAGAGAGTCTATGTGCGAATGCAAACTTTTCCCTTTTCTTTGATCTTCTGACACACACTTCATCCTTAATAATAGGTTGCAGGAGAAGTTGAAAGCAAAAGGATATACAACTGTCGATTTTTGGACCTGGTACGATTCTGAAGACCTTAAAACGAAATGGCGTCGGCATATGGAATATCCAAAGCCTCTTACAGATCGTAGTATGTGATGCAGTTGTGTATATGCTGCAAGTTTACTCATACAGGCGCATTTTCTTATTAGTCTGGAAAATAATAGAACCAAGACTGGATGCACTTATTGCGGAGCGACGAGCGAAACGTGCAGAATGTAAGGTAGGCTGCCACTAATAAGTAGTTAAGCCCTTTAGCGACTGACTTAAATAAACGCAAGTTTTATAAGTCCTTCCAGGGGTTCTGTCCTTACTTACATCACCATTTTTCAGACTTTGCTCGTCAAAATTCGCTTCATGTATAGCTGCAATAAGCAACTGTAATACTCTCTTTCACATAGTGCCTTCACAGTAGTACTGGAATTTTATACGTATTCAAACGTATGTAATAATGTATTGTGAACTATTTTCAACCGCTTTTCTTTGTTACATGTTTGGTGCTGTATACTGCCTTAGTCTTTATATAATTGCTAGAAGTAAAAATAAAGAAAATGCTTAATCGTCAGTTGAATAATAGCCTGCATTGCTAATTGCTTCGTCACAAGAGGGTCTGATGCCAGGCCAGTGATGTCGCCCTCCTTGAGTCCTTTGTCTCGGATTGCAGTCCCAAGTGATTATAGTCATACTTCACCTCGGCCGTTGGTCTCGTCAACCACCCACCACTATAAGTCTCTCAAGCAGCAGAAGTCGCTGTGCTCATAAATAATATGTACGCCACTTTGCAAAATCTGGCAAACGACGAGAATGCCGAGCTAACAATAGACATGATCCACGAGTACACCATTTTCTCCCTCTCTATTATCCATGTATAATTAAAGGTTCAGATCGTTGCTGTACCAGGTGCGAGAGCAGAATGCACGCGCCTTTTCCTTGATGGAGAGGCAGTGCAACCGATGAACTGCACCTCCATCACGAAAAAGTCTTAAGTATTGTATTCACTTGTAATCCTATACATTTTGTACCTTTTATAAGTTTTGTCAATGTTAATATAATCTTCATAGGGGGTTAAGCAAGGAAAGTACAATGTTAAATAAGTAAACAAGAATACTTGTAAAACTTGACAATTACAATTATAATAATATAAATTGAC